ACCATACTGCCATTGTCATCCTCGCTTGCCTTTGCAATGTATATTGTTCCGACTTGGTTTGGTCATCGTATCGCACATCGTACATTCGAAAAACAATTCACCAGACACACGCATAACTGCAGCGAACAGCGCAAATTGTTGTCACAGATCTTTTCATTGAATTCAAATTTCAATGCTATTGCGCTATCATCATTGGGTTCGGCTCCCATCCTCACGTTTTACAGCTCCAAAACTACATTCTCTGACCAGTGTCAGCCCTCAAGACCATACGTCTAAAGTGCAGTGCTTGCCGCGCAATATAAACGTAGACACATCCAAAATTCTGTGCGTGCCACGAAAAGTGGATGTCATCGTCTGAAAACCGTGCAAGGCATCGTGCCTGTTTTGGAAACCTGTTTTTGACACATTTTTACTGACGTTTTTTTGAAATGTCGACATTGTCGACCTTTTTGACATTTTTCACCTACAACATCAACGTTTTCCGACCAATTTTTGGCGTGAACCCTAAAATCTACGACATCCAAATCGATGTTTTGTTTTCATCATTTGTCACCACATGCCATGTTTGCCACGGAATTTTCAGTGCGTCACCCCGTGAGTCACCCCGTGACGCAGCCTTGACAATGCCATTCGCAACAAACATGCAACACCACAGGTCTAAAGTGTGGCGCCTGCTGTGCCAAATCGCGATGGAAATATCCAAAGTGCCGCGTCTGGCACAAAAATTTCAATCTGTTTTGACAGCCGCGTAGTGCTGACCATTTTGGACACACCCTGCACCAAGTCTGTGGCTGGGCATCCGTGGTTCCAGAGTTACTATGAGATGGCGGACGCCCTGGGCATCCCCTTGCATGTGGTGGACGAAGTAAGACCAGTTCCAATTCGGAGCTTCCCGTATTTACAATTCTAGTTTTGCAGTTTGGTGCTGGTTTGCAATTCGAGAGCAGTGGTGTTTGGTCAAAGTGGCCATTGTACCGGGCCCCTTGCCCCTGCTTTTTAGCAGGCCAGTTCTCACTAAGTTGGGTGTGCAGTACGATTTGGCAGCACAAAAGGCGTCTCTTCGAGCTCTCAATGTAGACTAAAATGGGTACCGATCACTGTTTCAGCTTGTGTAGTGTTAGAGTTGAGGAGGAAGATTCCGATGCCGATCTCGGTTCATTGGCATCGCATCAGCACGGGTTCCTTCCAAAGAGCCAAACTAGTTGAACTAGTTCGGGTTAATTTTTCTAGGATGTTCATGTGCTTCAACGGCGTTGTCCGTGCCAACTATTTTGGCATGTTACTTCATCATTGTGGCATGGCATCCAGGAGTTTCTGTGCATAGGACTTGGATTTTTGTGCAATCTTCTGTCTAGGAGGCTCCGAACCAAAACAAGAATGGGAGGGATTTGTTGATGCCTTGTCATGTCTACCGGAGCCAGCTCCTGTACATTATATTCAACACGAGCCTGCAAGTCTGCCATCAAGGTATGGGTTCAACAAATCCTGACATATGAATCCCCCACCGAGAAACGTTTTATTGTTAGTTACAGGCACAGGTTGGCGCAGGTGCATCGCAAATTTTTCGAACCTATGTGCCCTTCATGCGAACACTCCGCGCACATTGGCTCAGGTGGCTAAAGTTCTTATTCAATTTCATGGTGTTTCTGCCGCCTCCAAAGCCACCTGCGGGAGAACCGCGCTCTTTGACAGTATGAGATGCGGCAACCAGGAGCTGGCACTTTGACTATTTTGTTTGTTTTCCCAGTCGGAGCATTCACCTATGTGTTTGTTTTGGTTTCACATCTCGGGTCCCTGTTTCTTCACAGCCACCAGCTTTGGCGATGGTCGTCGCGTGTCGTAGCCGAAGTGTTTTCCGGGGGGAAGGTTGCGACCGCTGTGTGGGAAATGGTTTGGGTCAGACGCCCATTTGTGTTTCCGCACGAAGTGGCCAGGCACCTTCGCTGAGCCAGGGAACCCTCAGTCATGTGATATCCGACGCATGCGCGTCAAGTGTTGAACCCATGTTGCTGATGCTTTTCGCAATGTACGACCCGATTCGGATTTTGTTTCTGGCATGTCTCAAAAAATAAAACTGCGAACCCAGCGCGGGCGCATGTCCTTCTGCAAACCTGTGAGTTCGCATGGACGGCGCAACACTCGTTCATCATCAAGAGGGACACCTTGGGAAATGATTGCCTGGTGCATAGCGCTGACGTGTTCAGTGTGTCAAAGCGTGTATGCAACAACCTCGTATGGAGACACTGGAAACTGGCACGTTTCAGCTTCCAGAACATGAGTTTTCGTCACATGGATGCACAATTTCCACAAAGTCCGCAGTTTGTGTTTTTTGCGATCTTGGTTCGTGTCCACAATCTTCTGCGGGTGCAGTGTTATTCAACGCATTGCAATCAGCACAATCAACGCTGCTGGTTTTGAGAGAAGTGGCGTTTCGGATCGCAAGTTGGCAAAGCAAGTGGCATGCCGACATGAGTTCCGACGTCTTGCGCGCAGAGCCATTCATGAAATCTTTAACAAACTGAGATCACTTGTGCAAAAAATTGGCCCCAGCATGACATTGGGGACACCCTCGGATTCCTCCTCCGGCATGGGGAAGCAGAGGTCAAACAGTTGCAGGCCGACCGTCGCAGACTTGAAAGTGATAAGCAAAAGCAAAGGTTGGACCGTTGGAAAGACAACGTGCAAAGTGCCAACACAAAGGCTGTCAGCCGATGGCTTCAGCACAAAGAAAACCCAAACTTAAGGGTCAACATCACTCACAATGATGACGTGGCGGACAACAACGTCCGAGGCAGAACCTTTGGCAGCAGCTTATTCCACTCGATAGGGAGGCTACGGCTACACACATGGTGGCCAACTTCACCTAGGCAGACCACAAACCACAACAGAAATCAACTGGCAACTGCAAGATCTTGCCACCTTCTGCAGTAGTCTTGGGGGCGGATGGCGCAGCAAGATGTGACAGCTGGAGCAGCACGGAAACCAGGTACATGCCCGTGGAAGCCATCCAACACTTGTACAAACTTTCCAGCCGTTGGCATCAAACTCAGCAGGTCCCAGCAACCTTCGTTTTCAGAAGACAAGCCAACTTGCCCAAGCCACATGAGGTCCAAAAAACCTAAATGTTATGACAGATTGAGGATCGCGATGGCAACAGCTTTCTTGAGGAACGTAGGATGGCCATCACATATCGTTGCCATTCTTGAACAGGTGTGGTCAGCGCAAAGGCACGTTGAGTTTGACAGACACAGTCTTCCACGAACCTTGCCAAGCTGCGGAGTTCCCCAAGGATGCCCTTTCGCTCCCATAGCATTGGCATGTATCAAGGCATGTGGTCACAAGTCTGTCAATGAGATTCTTCACAACAGCTACGGATATTCAAGGGAAGCACCCCAAATTGCCAACACCAAGATCTACATGGACGACAAAACATGTGTAGATCCTGCATATCAGAGATGTCTGGACAGGGCATCGGCTTGGGAAACTTGGAATTCCACTGTGGGACTTCTGGAAAGCAGCGACGAAGCACAGTCCTTGGCAAAAACCAAGGCGATGCAAGACAAACTTGTTGTTGACAGACCACAATGGTCGCAGGAGAAAACAATGCAGGCCTTGGGGGTCAGCATTCGCGCCCGGCCCTCCAAAAACACAGCTGGAGCAATCAACCAAGTACTCCTACTCAAACTTTTCGGACATGGATGAAAGACTTCAAATGTGATGAGATCGCACCTTGGCGTTGGAGACAGGGTAGTCTTCAACTTTCTTTGCCGGCGAGTGCCGAAACAACTTCACAGGCCCACAAGATCAGACAATTTGGTGGCAAACTTTGTTGCAAAAGTGGAGCCTGGGACCTCGACATGAGGCACAACAATGGCAGTGGCGACGTAGTCCACTGCAGATGCGAGGAGAACTTGAACAAATTGATCTGGAAGCAGCGGGGAGGGCATTGGAATTTACATCAGCAAATGGCAGAGCCATCATGTTTGGTTCAGTTTGCAGTCCGGCCATGCTTCACAAAATGAAGCCGGAAGAGTGACCGAAGTGTCCATGGTGCAACTGCCGGCCGGCCAAGCCGGACACTTTCTTGAGTTGGCGATTTGCTTGGCCGACCTGGGACATGACGAAGGTCTAACATCTACGCCTGTTGACTTGGCTGGCGCTCCTGGACCGCTATGAACAGACAATGGTAGCTAATGCCGCCGTGCTCGACGCAGTTTACCCAACAAAGTTCTTCGGAGCTCAAGGGTGGACACATTATGTTCAACCATTGTTAGGGGCACATTTTTGGTTCTTTGTTTGATCGCGCGCCTTTGTACGGTGCGCGCATACCCCGAACTAGCCCGGGCCGGCCGGTGCCGACTAGTTGTCTTCACCTTGGGGCTTGGGGGCCGCTTCAGTGCGGAAGCGGTCGACATCCTCCGCACCCTCGTGCGGGCCAAGGTTTAAGGAAAAATCGCATTTTGCATTTTGCATCCATGTTTTTTCAAGGAGAATTGGTTGCATCAACAGAAACCAAAGCAACGTTTTTTTCCCAACCTTTTTGTATCATCAAAATTGGACACATGACGCGTTATGTAACACATAAAAACAGCGGTTTCAACCACTTCCTTATTTTATGGTTCAAAACAGCATGATTATGTAGGTTAGGACAAGATGCGTGCAGGATTCATGGGTGATAGATCAGGCCCGGCGTGTTTTGGCCACTGGCTTGAACCAGATGCAAATTCACGAAGATTTCCAACAGCATGGGAATTGGTTCCCAAGTATGGTGGTATGAGTATTGCCATGTTTCGCTCTGATTACTACCGTGTGTTGTTGGAACTGGCCGAGAGAAAACATCACTAAATCAAAGATGGTTGGAATCATTCTTTTCGCATTTGGCGTTGGGTATTTGGTTATGGTTTTGCATCAAACTGGGGAAGACAACGGTGGCACGTTACCTTTTTCAGTGGGATGTGGGAGTGCACAAAAAACCTTGGTTTGCCAGGCGTTGAGGGGCTATGGAGTGGGGCCCTGAGTTTGGCGATTACCCGTCGATGACCTTATGAAAATTGGACCGAGGGACACGTCCTCGAATTGGAGGAAATTCCAATGTTTGATGGAACAAAAAATTGCTTTTGGCATCGTTTCCATTAAACTCCAAAGAGGGACCCTTTCACCCATAGATGCCATTTTGATGACCATGGCCCCAGGCATGTGCTGCCTCCACCGCCTCCATCACGTGCCTCGGCATTAGCAACCGAACGCTTCATGTTGATGTCGTCAGACTAGCGATGATTCTGCATTTTTGGAAGTGGGTTGATGGATCTTGATGTTGATAATCGGTTTGTTTCGAAATTTCTATTTTTTAAAAATAAATGTCTTCAAAAGGGTGAATATCAGGTGCCATATAGTAAGCGATGGCCATATGTGGGACCCAATAATATCCTGTACGGTAGATAGGAGGCTCTAGATCCAATACAGAACCAGGGTTTCAGAGTGGCTTCTGTTCAGTGTCAGGAGGAACCAGACCCGCAGCCGAGGTCCATATTTAGCCACCCCGCCGCCCAACCGGCCCTTCTTGCTGGGTTCTGAGATGACTTTCAGTCACCAGATGGCCAGTAACAAAAGGCAAAACGTGGAATTGATGTTGTTGGTCGTTGATTCAGAGAATCCGCACCTTCTTTGGTTTTTCCATTCTATTTGAAGTTTTGCCAATGCCATGGAAGAAAATTTGAAACCTGCATTGCTTTGCACTGCTACGCGCAGCATCGGCAGTTCTTCCCAGTGCAGGCAATGACAATGCCAGTTGTTGGAATGCAAAGATCACGGATTTTGCTGCAGATTGTGCTAGCAAAACAATATTTCTTTAAACCTGAGAAGTGCAGTTAAAAAATGTAGAACATTTGTGTTTCCAGGACATGGATCTCGCCACGCGAGATCCTTTTTTCTTTCCCCCTACGTCAACCGCCATGACCTGCCCATATCCCGTTCCCGGATCACCAAGGCAACCTCCTCATGAGGAACGGCAGGTTCAGAGTGCGCCGCCCGAACGGCAACCCTTCGACGAAGAGGTGCGCGGCGGAGGTGGAGCCACTGTCACGATTTATGTCTGTTCTCCAGGCGGCTCACTTGACCCTTTTGATATTTTTGTGTCTTACTGTCTTACCTGGAAAAAATCATATCAAAGGGATTTAGGAAACGGTCACTTACACTGACAGTTAAAGATGTCACATAGCCACCCCTAGGATCCCTTGGGTTTGATTTTTGGGGTTTGAATGACCCAAATTTGTACTGTTGCGCAAGTGGCCAAGTGACCTCTTTCTCGATACCCCCCACCCTTCGAAGACACGCTTGTCACACGCATTAACATGCCAGGTAAAAAGGCAATCACAATCTGAACCGCAAAGCACTGTAGCAGGTTTGGAACCAGCGTGAAACCTGTATCCAGAGCCCCATTGGGGGAACTCAGACTTACAGATAGGATCAAGTAGGTCACTTAGCAAAGAAGAAAAGAGGTCACTTCGCATACCAACATATCATGAGTGGCATCCTTTTTTGTGGTTTTAACTTCCAAGTCTAAGTGACCTCGTCCTGGCTACTTGAATCTATTTGACTATTTTTGATATGCTTCAACAATGGTGAAAATTGGGATGATATACAGCTACTAGGTGTAGTTGCCCAGTGCTGTGCCAGGATCCTTTGATGGGCAAGCACTCGAAACTGTACCAGCCAGGATCTTAGAAGAGAGAGGGCACCCACTGATCGAGGCAACTGGCGCTGTTCCTTAAATTTTGCACCATATTTCACGGATTTTTTAATGTCTTGTTTCAGCGAGCCCGCTTGAAATGGGCCTGTTTTCCAAGGCGTCGCAAGGAGATTGAAGGTGAATTGAGACGGCAGTTCAACTTGTTTGGGCCTTGATTCGAGGGGCTGTGGGATGGGCAAAATTTTATCTTCTTGGTAAAGACGACCTTGTTTGTTGTTGATTTGATAATCTTTTTTAATGGGTGAATCCCCATTTGCGTGGGTTAATCACCGTTTCACTTCGGCTAAGCCTGCTAAGCCATGCATGACCCTAGGCCCGAGGAGGCGGTCGAAGTGCTCAGCCAACTGCGCTCCAGGCGGGCTACAGGAAGGGCCCCTGCAAAAGCTGTAACTATAACTAGGATTTATGGTGGATACACCTACGGTTAGATGCGGCTATAAACCAACCAACATAATTGGGTTCATTCTTCTTGAGTGAAGAGTTCCCCATTTTCAGATCCCAGTCAGGTGCAGTTTTGCTGGCGCAACGGTGGCAGGATCCTAACCCTTTCTGTCCTGAGATTTGGCAGGCGTTCATCCTCCTATGGCTGCCCTCCACCAGTTCCAAAGCCTCGTTCTGGTGGGGGGCTTGACGTGGTCGTTGGATGTCTAGGGTTGCGCCACCAGGTCCCCTTGACTTCTGATTTGAGTTCTCATGGGGCCCTCTTTCCATTGGATAGTGTGGAATGGTGCAAATAGTTCTGAGATGAGCAAAATCCTTGAGGATGTTTCCAAGGGGCTATAAAAAATATCCGGGTTTGCCACCAAAATCACATGCCTGGGCCTTGGGGGTCCGTTGTCACACCTCAGGAAAGTCGAAACTGTCAGCCCTTGGCATGTCTTTGCTACCAGCTGCTGGTCGCTTGGTCATTTTCTAGGCACCAGAACGGTTGAAACTATGGGTGCTGAGCACATTCATCCCGGCGAAAGCCGTCACCTCCTTACAGAGCTACCTACTTACACGCACAAATTAGACACTTGCATCCAATGTATGGTCTATTAGATGCTCTATCTATCTACATATATACATAATATATATATATATATATTATATTATTTTCTATTATATATATATATATGTATATATACATACAATATAAGCAGGTCAATATAATACTGGCTATCGTCATTACAGATGTATACACAGAGAGAGATATATATATGCATAAATAAACATACATACACACATACATGCATACATATATATATATATACAGTTACGTAAGTTACGGGCCTCGACCTGGCAATGAGAAACGCCAGGCCGCCGATCCCGAAGCCGGTGGAAGCGACCCGAGGTGAAACCGGCAGTGAAGCCAGTGGGGGGGATGATTGGTGCATATCTAAGGAGGATATTTATATAGTAACATATTAACTAATGTTTGTAAATAAGCGCTGGTGTTTTATTAGCACTGGTATTAACTATGTTGATTATCTTATTAACTAATGTTAGCAAAGCAATGGTAAGCCATCCCCAATTTAACCATTATGATGGGGAATCCAACCATAGAGGGGTGGTTTATCATTGCTTTACAGTAGATAACTGAGATCGATATATTGATATCCAAACAGAGTTAGTCCACTTGCTTGGACATGGGATTGAACAGGAACATGAGAATTTCTATGTTAACCTATCTACCTATGTGTCTGATTTTATGCGTACACACATGCACACACACACATATGTATATATATATATACATATATATATATATGTATATATATGTATATATATATATATATATATGTACATACATATACATACATATACATACATATACATACCAGATAGATAGATAGATAGATAGATAGATAGAGATAGATAGAGATAGATAGATAGAGAGAGAGAGATAGATAGATAGATAGATAGAGATAGATAGATAGATGGAGATAGATAGATAGAGATAGATAGATAGATAGATATATAGATATAGATATAGATATAGATAGATAGAGATAGATAGAGAGAGAGAGTGATAGATTGATAGATATATAGATAGATAGATAGATAGATAGATAGATAGATAGATAGACAGATAGATAGATAGATAGATAGACAGATAGATAGATAGATAGATATATAGATATAGCTATGTATTTAAACATATGTGTCATATCTCTCTGCTTGCCACTTGATTGAATGAAAACCCACCAACTCAAAGGGATTCGGAAAAGCCTCTTTCACTCCCTTTAGTTTTTCAAACAGGTTAGACGCAGTTGGGCACCGTGGGCACCGCCCAGGTCCAGATGAGGCAGATGCACGTGCACAGGTCGGGTTCCACAAATCGCTGCAGTCTCCCAAACAGGATGGCCTAGGCTTGGTGATTCGTAGGAAACCTATGGAAACCTTGACTTGTTGGCACCCGTTTGGTACTGGAGGCTGGGCCCATCGGAGATCCTTGGTACAAAGATGTACAAAGATCAAGCTAGCGAGCCATATTATATTCCGAACATCAGCCAAGTTCAAACAAGTGGTCGAGAGAGTCGAGAGTCGGAACGACGAAGGTTAGCTATAATAATGTACTGCATGCATGGTGATAGTGCGCGGTTCTGCGCATTCGTTGTTGAGCGGATTTGAATTATCCATGGCTTTTCAGCAATGATGATTTTCAGGAGGCAGAGCGTCGTTCTGAACCTCCATGGTGGAAGCTGGAACAGGAAAACCTGGCCAGGTGCGGCTGAGTGAGATCCACAGTTTTGTCCGTTGAAACCTTGACCCGCTAAACCCTGAAGCCAATTTTGCTGCACAGTTGAGGTTGCCAAATGTTGCCAGCACATTTCTTCAAGAGAACTTATTTTAGGATGGTTGGAGGCTGTTGCGGTAAAACATGATTTGAATGTATTTGTTGCCTTTCTCAAATCCTTTGCCCACTCACAGGGTCATTTACTGCCAACAGGCGCAACCAGGAGAGGGAGGCGCGAGAGGCATTTCTGCACCTTGTCACTATTTCGTTCTGAGGAGCTGGAAAGATGGAAAGGAAACCCAACAGATCTGTGACAAGTCTTGCAGGCTTTGCGGTTGTTCCAAACAGATTTCAATCCATGTTCCGAATGTCAACCGTGATAAATTGCAATTAGACATGGCACCCCCTCTTAGTAAACTGGGGGTCTATTAATCCCGGGCTGACATTAAATCGGACGTTGCATTCCCTGGTTGCAAGATCTCGGTGGCATCTGTGACTTGAACGAATGAATATATATATATAGATATGAATATATATATATATGATTATATATATATATGTGTGTGTGTTAATTTTTATGCTGTATGCATAAATCTATCACATAGAGATGATAGAGCCGTCCGCTCCGTAAGCCCTTGTCTTAGCCCAGGTCCCAAAACTGTTGCCGAGTTGAGCTAGCAGCTAGATCCCAGCTGGTGCATTTCATTGCCCGTAGATTTGCTTATTTCAACCTTGTTTGGTTCGTGGTTTTAGGTCTTTTTTCATATTCCATCCAGTTGTGATGATGCGTTCCAAGGAAATCTCCTGAGCCTCCTGCAGAGGCCGAGGGCGACTGAGGGCCACCGACGAAACTGTTGCTGTTGATGGGTCTGCAGCACTGAAGGATTGGTCAATTCTATTACTGTAAATCGCCCAAGCGAGTTCTGAGATGTTCGGCGAGAGAGTGCCCAGATTCTGTTTCATGAGGCTAACCTTGGTTTGTACCGGGCAATTGGGTACCATTCACATCCGCTCTCAATGCCTCTTGGCCAGGTGCCAAGCGTGCAGGTTTGCGCCCCATGATATGGTCGGATGCACGAAGTATTCCAAAGCTGGCAGCCCTTGGGCCTCCATGCACTTCCAACCCTTCTGCACCCATTCGGGCTTAGTCACACAGCCCCTCAGAGAGAGAGAGATATATATATCTATATGGGCATGGATCAAACACAATCAGAAACTATGCCGTATTGGGGGGATGAACATCCACAAGCAACAGCTATTCTTCTGTGAAAACCAGGGTACGGATGAATTCACGGCTAGTCGGCTAGTCACAGAATTGGAGGCTGGGACATTTTACAGGACCCCCTTCACTGGATACTGATCAAGCCCATGGTATCCAGTGAAGGTTTTTCCCAACAGAACCGATCCGTTGAGTCCGTTGAGCTATGCAAGGTCCACATGTTGGATCGCTCCATTCACCTGCGGCCGCAGAGTGCCTCGGAGATTGGGATGTGGGGCCCCTGTTGCAATGGTTGATATACCCAGTTAGTTCACTGGAACTGCGCACCCCCAAGAATGGCAATTAAACCAACAAGGATTGGGATAGCAATTGCTGAGCATAGGATCTAAGGGATCCAAACGTAGATGCAGCTATCTAATATTCGGCTGAATGGATCTAAATCACGCTAAGAATGCTACCCGAAAACGAATCTCGAATGTTTTGGTGACACCATGTGGAAGACGCTTTACAGCCAGCTGCTTCAAGGGTGGTTTGATGCTGGGATCAACCTCTGTATGTATCTATACGTCTCTTATTTTGCGGTGAAAACATCAGATTCTGATTCTGATGAGACTATGGCTCACCCCGTCACGATAGTCGAGTTCATGGAGACCATAAATGAATTTACCAGGACATTTGATGACATTTGCCACATTTTTCGTTGGCACGTGATATTTTACATCAGTTTTTGCTCTTAACCCTGTACCCCAATGTGAACATATATTAATTGAATATCAACCACGCGAGACCCTGGTGAAATCGGTTGAATCTATTCATGCAAAGGAGTTCCCAGCCATGGAACCTCAATTTTGATGGTGAACCCCGTCGCTGAATCTTGGGATCGGATACACCACCATGTATATATATATATATATTTGATGGATTCCAGACATTTCAATGACTCATTTTACCCCTACATAGGTTAACTGTCGATTATCACTAGAAACTGGCTTGTGCCCAATCTGTTGGTTCAGCCCAGTCAGTAATTGTCATGGGCTTATGACCCATACCCCAACCCCAGAAAAAATGGTGGTTCACCCCAAAGCCTCAAATTGGCTGGGTTATGACCAGGCTGGCGCACGGGGCGTCCGCCTGCCGAGCGGAAGGTGACCGCTGTGGGGACGCCAGAGGGTGCGGGAAGTGATATGGGAAGGGGCATAACGATGGGATATGGTATATTCGTATATCACAAACAAATACGGAGATGCCATGAGTGATACAAATATGTATATATATATATAGATAGATAGATAGATAGTTGGTTTAAAACTGCTTTAAACTAAACACCAAAGATGGGGAAAAAATGGGATATACTGGAAACTCATGATCAAACATTGGGGATTGAATAGAGTTTAAGCATCAAAAACAAGAATTAGACCAAGCAAAATTAGGATCAAGCCACTGTCACGAAGCAACATCTCTGTATTGTTTGGTGCTTTTGGTCAAGGAGAATTGATTCTTGATGGTTTTACTTGGATCATCATTGGTTACATCCCCAAAATGTATCGTTTCCTAGCAGATAGAGTATGCCAGAATTGAACCCATGCAGTCGGAATATTCCAAAGCTGGATCAATCCGCTCGACGCGTATGGAAATCTTTACACTCTTTTTCAGTGTCGAATATTCTAAGTGCAAGAAAACTCATGCAGATAGAATATTGTGGACATTTTCACCCGGCTCAGCATTGGAGCTCAAGGAACAAAACCAAGTGCAAGACTGTTCTTCTAGGGTATGGAAGATCATTTTCTTATTGGATACAGCCATTCCGGCCATTCCATCTAAAATTTCGGGGTTGTGCTTTGAAGTCTTTGTTCCCATGCCTACTTGGGATGATGAGGTGTACAAGGTGGTGTTTTGCCAGTTGGCTTAGAACCCCCTATTGACACTGATGAACTATGCTCGATATCTACTGTAAGCCCGAGAGTTAAGCTAGTCACAGTCACACACCAACTCAGCTGACATAAATCAACGATAAATCCACATTCCGATGAGTTAAATCCTCATTTTTGCTGGCTAACGAACTGGGACATCACCATCAGTATCATCTTTCGACTCGGCGAGGAGTTTCATGCTCCCCGCCCACCTCCCGAAGGTGCCAGTGAAGTCGTCATGTGGGGTGGTCCCTAAATGACTCAGATGACATGGTCAATCATGTGGTACCATCAACTTTGGGAAGTTGGTAAGTACACTAAGTACACTAGATGGACATCTCTATTTCCCAAGTCTTTCAAAAGACATAGATGATAAACAATGTGAAGAACCCAGCAATAATTATCCCTAAAAAACCAACCATGTGGGGTCATTTTGCATCTGCCAAAAAATGTCATGAAGATTCACAATTTCTGGGCATTAAAAACCCTCCCATCATTTTCTATACCAAGAGCTCTCCATTTGGGGACGGTCGTCAGGTAGCCAACCTGAGGAGCCGTGGAGGGCCAAGGCACAAGATCAATGACCTGAAAAGACAACTTGGGACATCCGTTTTCTTTGAGATATAGAGATACATATTAGCATATTAGTATACAATAAACATAAACACATAAATAAATGCAATAAGTAAACATATACATCTGATTTAGAGATACATATCTACAGTAAACATAAACACATAAATAAATGCAAATAAGTAATTACAAATAGATAAAAACAACTGAACTCTCGCAGAGTGCGATGGAGAGAGAGAGAGAGAGAAATGCACACACAACACACACATAGATACAAACAAGTAGATACAAATGATAGATAAATACATACAAATAAATAGATAAATACAACTCATTAGAACAATGCAACTACTTGCATGAATAAATTCACTCATATACATATACATATACATATACATATGCATGCATGCATACATGCATATACTATAGATTTAGATTGGCCCCACTTCTGGCATTCTGGGCATAGCTCATGTCACCTTTCCATCAGGCCAGAGAGCTGGAGGTGGCGTGCCCCCAACCGGAGTGGATCCGGCATTGGGTGAGTCGTTGGGTTCATCATGGGACCATGGGTGACATGGTGATATCGTTGGTCTAAAATGGTGAAACCAATGATAACCATGTTAAACCATTGGTTTGATTGGTTTAACCATTGGTTTAATTGGTTTAACCATTGGTTAAACTATGTCAACAATATTTTTTCTTGTATAGAATCGACTATGATGGCACAGCTCGGGCAGGGAGACCCGATGGCTATGAAGAGAGAGAGAGAGAGAGAGAGAGGGAGGGAGAGAATAGGATGGTCAAGTTATATGGATTACAGACTTGGTATAAAAGGGTTTTCATGGTATAAAATGGGCAACATTTAATAGATATAGAGTATAGAGTGGTTAAATGGATATCTGCCAATTGTGGCCAGCTTTAGATGGGACCATGATGATTAACTCAATGGGGATCCCACTGAAGGTGACCCAGTTAAACCCCGACTTTTACAGTGGGTTCCACAACAATTAAAGAACTCACTTCATTCGTAACAGTGCCAACAGTAGTGCTTTATGCTATGACATTTATGTATGCCCTGATTCTTGGGATGATTTTTTGTAGCCCTCCAAATGCTTCAGAATGGGGATAGTCGGCATTGATCTCGCACTGATCACTCCCAAGAACTGGGATATAGTGAATATGAACGAATCGCGACAAAAAAAAGTGGCAATCCACAAGTTTTAAAGCAAGACTTAGCCGGTATAATTAATCCCGTTTCACTGTTTTACCCTCCGGTAACCAACATGGCAATTGAATTCAGCCATTTGCGGATGATTTTGCATTTAGATGCCCGTTTACAACGGATTTCTCATTGCCATGTTCGACTACCGATGCCAGGCCCTGGCTTCTGCCCATCGTTTGAAGCACGAGGAGCTGAAAAAGGCACTGGCTGGCTGGGCTGTTTTGGTGGTGAAATGCACCTTCTTTACCGATGAAAAAGTAATCGTAGGCGAAACCCAGACTTTCTTCCTTTGAAACAGCGTTTCCCTTGCTTAAATATTGTACATTTCTCTCTCCAGTCTCACTAGTCAAGACACAATTTGTCCCATTTCAACCAATCGTTGATCTAAAAACACCACCGATCAACCGATGATCTCCCAATCAGGCCAGAGCCCAAGAGGACCCGATGGCTCCAGAGGAGGCCATGCCTGTGCGGTGTCCTGGTTTGTTCTCTCAATCTTGGAGCTGTTTCATCCGGCAAAAAACGTGGGAAAACATGGTGGTATAACCACCACAAATGAACATTTCAACCATCAAAAATGGGGATTTAGGCATCAATCATGAGGATTTTGGCGGCAAGAAAGGAGGATGTGGAGAAATCAGAGTGCCCCAAAGCAGCATGGTGTTCAGATGGATCTGCCCATGGCTGGGTATCCCCTGAGGCTCAAGTGCGATATTCCCAGGAGTATTTGAAGGAACTGCGGCAGCGTGAGGACGGGAGTTGCCAGAAATCACCACCGGAAGGTCCTTGGAACTCTTCCAGCCGCAACAAATCCCCAGAAACCATCGTCTCATCCGAAGCCTTGATATCCTTGATTTGTGAAGCATCAATCATATCAAGAACGAAGCTTAAGAAGAGAATCTGGTTGACCATGTTCCAGCCGGCTTCACTGTAACATGACCTCTTTTGTGGCTCAAAACACAGCCAAAACCTGCACAGCTCAAAGGTCAACAAAACTTGCTCCCTGACCATGGCGCTGCTGGTGACCAACCTGGCTGGCGCGGTGATGGCTGAGCTGAGCCCAGTTCCCAAGAGCATCCAGGAGGCACGTGCAGAGGTGGAAAGGGCCAGTGGCATCCCAGCAGCACTGCAGAAGTTGGTCCGGGAAGGTCAGGTGCTCACTGAGGATGCAGAACTTCCAGAGGAGTTCGGGGTGGGTTTGGGAAGGTAAACAAAATGTGTGTATGTGTATATATATATACATACATACAAATGCACATACATTGCCTTGCCTTATTCTACCTTACTTACATTACACTACATTACACTACATTACACTACATTACACTACATTACACTACATTGCACTACATTACACTACATTACTTTACACTACATTACACTACATTAGACACTACATTACACTTCTGTAATTACATTAGATTACATGACTGCATTAGATTGCACTACATTACACTGCATTAGATTACACTACATTAGATTACACTACATTACATTGCATTACTTCACCTTACTTATCTTGCTTTACTTTGCAATAGAGTACATCACATTGCAGTAGCCTACGCTACACTACATTACACTACATTATGCGACACTACGGTATGGTATGGTACAGTACAGTACATTACATCCATGCATGCACACACACACACAGATATATATATGTAAATAAATAAATAAATAAATAAATAAATAAATATATATATATATAAACAGCTCCATGTGTATGTGGGTGTGTCTTGAAGGGTGTTTTTCTGAAATAAAAAGGATGCCATGGATTGCCGTAGCCTGGACTTCAGGACGGCTGCGAGATCATTTGCGTGAAGGATGAGACGCCCATGTGGACCTGGAACACCGAGAACCCTGAGGCCAAACAGATCGAGGTGGGGACGGCTCAAGCTGTCCCAAATTTGGAGAGCTTCTTCACACCCAACAGGGGAAATAGTTTGCAAAATTGGGCCATTAACTGATGTATAGTCCATGATATCCCCATTATAATTCCATCATTTTCCAATTTACATCCATTTATCCCACTATGGTTGGGTTTTCATGTATCCCACAAGGAAGGGATGACTTACACATTTCTCACCGTGTGACTTCCTGGTCCCTCAAGTTGCTGAAGTTTGACCCACAGCCAGGTGGATGGAAACGTTGTGCGGTGCCCAAACCTGTGCAACGACTTCGTGAATGTGTTGACCCGAGAACCCATCCGTAGCGGCATTCACTACTTCGAATTTGTCATGCACAAAATAGGGGATGAACAGTTTCCTGGAGAAAAAAGGGAGGCACCTGCAGATGGGGGGTGAGGTGTGCGTGTAAGTTAACATAGCCGTTGGTTCACAGACACTTATACTGTATACAGTAATGCAGTGCGGCACGGACTAAGGCAACCTATTTGCTATGCGCGAATGTTCCATTTGACACTTTCTGGGATGTGCCAAGAACTTTTTCACACAGATCATCAGATCCCTGCTGAGTCCAGGTTTCACTTGTTTTAGTTTCATTTGGTTTCATCAGCGGTCCCTGGGGTCCACTCTGCCAAGGTGGTGTGGTGTCACCATGATGCCTGAGCTGGCGGGTCGCCGCTACGACGGTCGCAGCTTAAAAGCCTGGACTTACTATTGTGGACGTCAGAGCCGCCATGAAGGGAGCATCACCGACGGCAAGGGGGCGTTGCATGCCAATGGCAAGGCCATCTTGGAGTTTGAAAAGGCTTGCAGACCTGGAAATGTCACTGAGAAGTATTAGTTTCCAGGAGTTTGGGGACTGTTCAAGCTCGAGAGTGGAAATGTGCAATGCACGAATCTTTGGCTTGCCCAGAAAAGGGATGAGAGTCATTGAATATCAGGTCAGACTACTTTGCAGGTTTACTTCTGAGCACCACAAGCCCTCACCGCAGGTGTCATGTGGGCAAATTTCCTCTCCCACACACACATTTCGTGCGTAAATTTGTCTATACCAGGTAGCGGAGGTTATCCATGGTAACCAGCAAAGTCCGCAGATATAAAATGGAACACACACACACAAGCGTAATGGGAGTTAACATCAGTTTTTGATACTGTTTGGATGTGTTTGGTAGCTATATCGTGGTAGTACCAGATTTCAATTTGTTCATTTTGACGCCCTGCATGTATAGAAGGGGATGTTGGTTACCAGGGCTAATGGAATGAGGAGTATCTATTCAATATATTCATATCTCTCGTAGTCATAACAGTTCAACACCATTGCTGCAGCATTAGACACACACACACATATTACGTATATAATATGTAACTATAACTATATAACATGTATAAATCCGTTTTGAACACACATCTCCCCATCTCAGGTGATCAACATGTTGGTAGACGGTGACAAGCGGATCCTGGCCTTTGCCTTGGACGGTCGGTTGCAGGGGGCCTGCCAGGTGCCGGGCGCCAAGCCGCTGTATGTCCTGACCCACGTGGATACCCCGGCAGATCACGTAGAGCTCCGAAAGCCGATGCTGGAGGAGACGGCGCCACTGCAGGAAATGACGTGAAAAATTGGACTTTATATCAACTTTATATCCAGAGTTTTTCAGATGGGAATATTGGACATGAATTGGATCACTACTGAGTTTGTTATTCGGTTTATGGATAGGGCAGGGCTTATCAACGACTAACAGCCACTAGTAAGGGATTCTTCACCATGATGATAATAGGGGCAGACACCCCAACTGCCATACTACCAATTTTTAAAATAAACATGGCGATAAATCGTGGTAGACCATCCAATATTGGTGTCTCACCCCAAGTATGCATATAGGTCATAACCCCAGCCGTAAGTAGCCATCTTCTAGATAGCCCACTTGCTAAGTAGGAGGAACCGCCAAGTAAATGATAGATCATGTTGGGAATGCTAGGGAAACTGTTGAACATAGCGTTAATCATGTTGGAATGGGGTGCATCTAGTTTGCAGCCAGCAAGCTAACACGTTGGACGGGTCATCTCCTGAACATGAACCAGTCATTTTGTTGGCATCTAATTTCAAAATAAAACGTGCTAGTGGTTGATGCCCTGCAGGATGCACCGCAGGAAGTTTTGGCATCTTTGACTGGTGCCCTTCTGGACATTGAGAAGGGGGAGAAACTGCATGGCTACTATGGCGGCTTCCACTTCAATTTCCCTGACGGGATTTGGGAAGCCGACAAGTTGGAAGATTGAACGCTGAAACAGTAGCAATGCTGAAAGACATCTGCTGAGATTTCTCACTTGCAAAGATACTAAGGCTTATTGATGAGCTTAAACCCGCTTGTGAATCTCCAAAGCAGGAAGCACTTGTCCAAGAGTCTGTACAGTTATGGCTCTCCCGGTGTGCAGCGTCCTGCCTGAGATGCCGAAAGTGGTAGGGACTGAAAAAGAAGCATCCAGAGGATGTTTTGCAAATGGTAGTCCGAAGATGGCAAAGTAAATTGCCATCAAGATATCATACAAGATCAAACAGTTGTGCAGGGAAATTTTAGGTTTATGTTTCCAACAGTAACTAACGGTCACATATTATGTTGTGTTAATATATACCATCGTCTTTGGTACACCTCTCAAGCTTGGGATGCAATGGTGGCTTCAAACGCTGGCACTCCAGGAGCAACGCTTCGAGGTTTGCGCCGTGGGTTGTGGCCGAAGCGATGGATTTTGCCGTCATTTACCTGGACATTTTCCCTACCAATTTGGGGATAATGGGCTCCAGGTCATCCCAATGATTCAATGACCAGAATTATTTACTTCTTCAATCGGGAAAAACAACCGAATTGTAACTTGGAACAGGGCCTATGGTTGTGGGGAGTTCTTCGAAGATTGTCGGGTTTCTTGATGTCAGGCGATGTCAGGGCATGTTTGGCTGATTTGACCACAACCTGAAAAAGTTGTCGATGGATCCCCATGTCATTGGTAAACCAATCACGTGTTGAGATGTTTTGGTTGGTTCAGCCAGTTCAACCCTCGCATGGGCAGCCATGGCTTCTTGATGGCCTTCCGACAGGAGATGAAGCGTGAAGAGCTTCGAAAGCTGCAGAAGGAGAGAGAGGAAGCTCAAAAGCGAAGGGAGGTGCGGCTGCGGCGGCTGCGGCCTGGTGGAACTCGATGCGGATGCTTGAGTTGAGCCTAGAATGCCTAGAGCTGTTTTGGCGATCCTAACATTTTCAGGCCGATGGCCGCTTTTTTTCTTTTTGCGACGGTGTGTCTCCATCAACCACAGTCACTTGAGCCATTGCCATCAGTTTTTGGCGCCAGGAGCAAGAGGAGTGGGAGCAGGCTATGCGACAGCAATTTGCTCAAGAGGCCATGGGAGTTCCAGTTGCCAGATGACACAATGGATGGCTGGATGCCCGCGAAAGGTTTTATTGTTGGCATCAGGACATCCCGTTTACTCAGGACTTTGTAAGTTGCCGTTGTCTTCCCTACTGATCCTCATCATCCTAATCCCGGTCCTCATCCTCATTCGTATGCATTAAGCATGTTTTATTATGGTTATTAAATGATATTAAATTATCAAGTAAACAATGCACACGGATACATGCACGCATGCATGCATGCATGCATGCATGCATACATACATACACCCACACAAACACACACAGACATACAGACATACAGACACACAGACACACAGACACACAGACACACAGACACACAGACACACAGACACACAGACACACAGACACACAGACACACAGACACACAGACACACAGACATACAGACATACAGACATACAGACATACAGACATACAGACATACAGACATACAGACATACAGACATACATATAATACATACATACCTACATACATACATACATACCTACATACCTACATACCTACATACCTACATACATACATACATACCTACATACCTACCTACCTACCTACCTACATACATACATACATACATACATACATACATTACATACCATACATTACATTACATTACATTACATTCACATTACATTCACATTCCATGGTATTTCACGGCAGTACATTACATTGCGTTACGTTCGATTGTATTGCAGTACATTGAATGGTGGCATTTGATGACATTGCGTTGCATTACATTACATTGCATTACATTACATCAAATTACATTAAATTATATATTCCGCTGCATCACATTACATTGCATTACATTCAATTATATTTATTATATTACGTTACATTGCATTACATTGCGTTACATTCCATGGCATTCCACTAAATCTCATTCCATTGCATTCCATCCCTTGCATTACATGACATTACATTGCATTACATACCATGCATACATACATACAGAACATAACATAACATTACATTCGATTAGATTAGATTACATTAGATTAGATTAGATTACATTATATTACATTACATTACACACATACATACATACATTACATACATACATACATACATACATACATACATACATACATACATACATACATACATACATACATACATACATACATACATACATACATACATACATACATTGCGAATAGAGTGTAGGCTACGGACCATTGTACAATATCACATAATTCGACACTCTAAGATCCACAGCCAAAGGGTATGACAATCGCCCCTTTGGCTCAAGACCCACTGCAGCACCAGAACAAAGAACTGCCATGCAGAAGCCGCCACCCGTGTGACGTCATCCCCGAAGTATCCACTTCAAAACCAAGTACCAGGACATAATCGGACAGGCAATCACCGATTCGCAGGTTATCAGCCGTAGGACTCCTACGGAGCCTACGAGCGGGTAGCCGCGGGCCTTACAGATGACTGAACAGGATAGCAGCGATAATGCATTTTCTTTCTCTGGACATGCCGTTGCACCAGCTGCCGGCACGCAGTCAAATTCTTCACAGAGTATCGACACTGGTGGAAGCGATGCCTCAGAATTGAGAACAAGCCTACCCAGGCGACCTCTGGTTGCTCCTAGAGGGAGACAAATTTCGACAATGCAAGCAATTGAAGATAGGGACAGCACACCTGGAAAGAGAAGATCATCTGCACGACAATTGTCGCCTCCGATGACTCCAAGGACTAAGGCAAAGACTACGTCGTCGAATCCGCCTTCACCGATTCAGGACGCTACTCCATCAGGGACAGGATCTTATCAGCAAGTGAACGCCCCGTCAAGTGGTAGCGACATCTTCACTGCCTATCAGAGTGAATTAGCTGAATACAAGACATCACTGGGAAAGGCCACTGAAGAAGAATCCGTACTTCAGGCAAGATTGAGCGAGACGACAGCATATGCCTATCAACAATTTAATTTCCTGGAAAGCACCACTCATCAAGAGATGATGTCGATGACCGAACAACTCCAGATGCTGAACTTCGAGTTACAGGCTGCACAACAAGAAGATGAAGGTGCGACCTACAGGATCGAAGAGTTGGAAAGGTATCAGACTATGTCGAACGAAGCTGCATCTCATTTGGAATTCAAATATTCACGACTACGTTCGGAATTCGATGAACAAATGGGACAAGCGAGCGCAATCATGGTACATGTGGGCGCTGATGCGAATGCTCACATCAATCAACTCAGACTGGAACTGGGAAACGCAGAGATGAATGCCAAGCAAGAAGCTCTAGCGGTCGGCTACGCTAATGACCAGACATGTGCTTTACAGATCGAGATGCTCGAGGTTGCCAATCAAAACCAGATAATGAAGCACACCATGGCCATGAACGTTAGACGACTGGAAACTGAGCTCGATGCTGCTGACACGAAGAGGGATGAGATCATGAAGGAGTTCCGTAGTAACATAAGATCTGAACATGACCGTTATGCAGAATGTGAACATCATTTAGCTTTGGAAGAATCACAACTTCGATTGCAGATGATTCAAAATGAGAACCTACAATCTCGACTAGCGATTTCTGAGAACAGGGTTTCTGAAGAATCTCTAGCTGAATCAGGCGGCATGCGGGACATGAGGATAATGGGACTACGTTCTGATCTACACATGAAACAAAGTCTTTTAGATCGAATGCAACAACAACTGACTGAATCGAAGAATCAGTATCATGAACTTTCCTGTCAACAAGCCAGAAGATCTTCACCAAGCAGATCACCGCATGGAGGACCTCTATACGAGATGTATATGCAAGCCGTGCGTGAATGTGACAGCTTGAAAGAATCCAAGGCTGAAGTTGACAAGTTGTACTTGCAGAACAGAACTGAGCTCATTGACACTGAGGACCTGCTCAAAGTCTTCCAGCGAAACTTCGATGAAACTGGTAAGAAGTACCAAGATGCTCTGAACAAGATCGATCACATGAGCAACAATCCGAATGTGACGAGTAACTTGTTCGACAGTTTGCACAATGAAATCAATGACAGGGACACAGCTATTGCTCGCCTTCATACTGAACTTGAAGCCCAAAAAGATTCTCTTGAGCGTGCTCACAGGGATGCAGGTAAGTCCATCAAGATGTTGAACGACAGAAGACTCGTGATCAAAGGTGCGACTGACTATTCCATTCCTGAAAGCCACTTGACCGAGATGCATCAATTGGCCAATGAGCGTTTCGCTGAGGTAGTAGAGATGTCAAGCACCATTGCTGCCCTGAAGTTGGAAAACCAGGCTCACTCTTCTTCATCATTGAATAGACCGACTACATTACATGGGTACCCCAGTAATGCCATGCCTCGGAATGAATGTGAAGAGAAGTGTGCCAAACTGAAAGCAGAGTTGGACGAGATGAAGCAAGAGAGGAACGCTGAAGTTCGAAATCTTCAAGATGAGTTGAAGAAGATGGAAGATCGGAAAGATTACTACAAGAACAATTTCTCTCAAGCTGAAGATCGTGCCAATGATGAAGAGCAGGAGTACCGAGCAGAAGCGGAAGCCTTCGAGAAGCTCAGGAACGAGTACAACATCAATGTCAAGGAGTTGGAGAACCTTGAAAGGGATAGATCCAAGTCATCCGTATCTCTAAGAGAAGCCGAAAAGATCAGTCTCCAACCCTGGCCTAAGACCACTGAACTTTCATCCTGGAAGGGAAGTGTTGTTCATGAAGTTTGTGTTGCAAGTGGAGATCGAAACTATGAAGATTGGAAAGCGTGGCTAGCTCCATGTCTTGCAGATCAACCTGACTTGGAAACTCTGGCCAAAGCACCTGATGTGAGATTCCAATCCATTGATGCCAAGCTCTCCAATGCCTTGAGAAAAGTCATTGACAATGC